TGCGCGTGACCGCTGGGTGTCGAGGCTCGATCCTCGATCGTTGGATCTAGGGTCCAGGATCGTCGAGTCCAATCTTGGCGATCCTCGGATCCAGGGTCCGAGTTGCTCGCAGATGCTCAAGACCAAGATCGCGGATCCTCGATCCGAGGATCGAAGATCGAGCCTCCTTGATGGCGGTCTGGGCCCGAGGGCGGCGACGGGGACGATCGACGATCGCCGAGGCTCGATCCTCGATCCCCGGATCGCGAACCCGGGATATTCGAGTCCAAGTTTGGTGATCCTCGGATCTAGGATCCAAGGCGCTCGAAGATGCTCGGGACCAGGATGTCGGATCCTCGGTCCGCGGATCGAGGATCGAGCTTGCTTGATGTCGGTCTGGGCCCGAGGGCGGCGACGAGGGAGATTGACGATCGCCGAGGCTTGATCCTCGATCCTCGGATCATGATGCCGGGATCTTCGAGTCATAGCGTGGCGATCCTCGGATCTAGGACCGCTCAAAGATGCTCGGGGCCAAGATCTCGGACCCTCGATCCGAGGATCGAAGGTCGAGCTTCCTCGAATCTAGGATCCAAGGGGCTCGAAGATGCTCGGACTCAATATCTCGGATCCTCGATCCGAGGGTGGAGGATCGAGCCTGCTTGATTGCTTGATGCCCGATCGAGGATCACTCGGCGAGAGGGGGGGAGTAGCACCCCGCAGCTTTGAACGCCACTCGCGCGTGCTCGCACGCTCGCTTAAAACTTCAATACAGATGGGGCTCGAGCTCGTGCCTCGAGACGCTTGCGCGGCACCCTCGTAGCGAAAAGTATGGGGGCGCTTGGCTCGGGACGCTCGCGCGCCAGGCGCTCCCCGCTCGCCGCCGCTCGGCTCTCAGGCGCCCTTCGGCGTCGACTTGTCGGCCGCTGGCTCGGCCATCGCGTCGGCCTCGCTCTTCTCGGGCTCGCGCTGGCTGAGCATCTTGGCTCGGTCGTCGTGTGTCCCGCCGAAATTGCGGAAATGCATTTTGATGTGCTGGTCGAAAGCCAGCGTCTCGAAGCGGATCTTCTTCTCGTAGTCATTATTGTAGCACTTGTCCATGTACTTGTCGTGCTGGAGCTCGTAGGCCATGTCGGCAGTGCGCTTGAGGCCCCAGCGCCACTTGACCACCGCTTGCGCGGTGGCTCGCGCGTGGCCACTGCTCTCCACCCCGCCGTTCTCGCGGCACCAGTTGACGATGGACTTGGACATGTGGGGGGTCATCTCGAAGAGCTGATCGCCTGGCACGCCGGGGGAGAAATCCTCGGGCATCTCTTCGACGGGCTCGAAGCCCTTGTTGATCGGCAGCACGAGGTCGTGGAGGTGGAGGAGCTCGGAGGGGATATTGGGAAGGGCCTTGCCGACGCGCTCGGCATAGGAGCCGAAGCTGAGGCGCTGGGCGCTCTCAGGGCCGAGCTCGATGTCCTTCTCCTTGGGAAGCTCGAGCATCTTCGACTTGAAGCCCGGCATGAGCCAGAAGGGTTTCTCGGGCGGCTCGCCGTGATTCTCGAAGATGTCGTAGACGAACTTGTCTTTCTCGCAGTAGGTCTTGTCGAAGAACGCCACCGCCAGCTCGACGCGCCTCTTGTTCTTCTCGATGAAGATGTGCCCATACTCGGTGCTCTTGAGAGTACCGCCGTTGTAGACCATCTCGAGGGCGGCTTGCTGGGCGCTCACCGACCACAAGACGCTGTCCGCCTTGACAATGCAGGCAGTCATTCTTGCTGCGTCAATGCCTTGCGCGCTCGATTGGCATTGGCGCATCCCGGCAATAGCGATCTTGTCCGCGATGAAGGCCAGCATGTCGAGGATCTTCTGGCTATGCTTGGCCATGCGCTCGAGCATCTCGTTCGAGCTCGGGCTCGCGCTCTGGGCCGCCACGTTCTTCAGGGCCTCGAGCTGCTGGGTCACCGCCTGGGCGCGCTCGGCGGGGTGAGTCATCTGCGAAGCTTGTGACACACTGAGGGGCAACGATGTGGGGGGGATAGGCATTGGGGGGGAACCATCGACCTGGAATCGGCGATACATTGCCGATGCATCGGCGATGGGCGCCCAATCGTGAATACGCTTGTTCCTGGGCAGGTTCAGGACATCGAACCATTCACTCTCTGCGATCACAGGCGATTGGGGATCGATGTATCCCCAGATGCCTATCCCCCCCATCGCTGCCCCTGGGGCGATGAGGCTCGGTGCCTCGAAGAGGCTTGAAAGCTTGGGGTCTCGGAGATTCGGGGAAGCTCGATCCCGAGCAGCTGCGGGGGGGAATAGGAGGAATAGGAGGAGGAGGAGGAGGAGAAGGAGGAGGAGGAGGAGGAGGAGCCACGAACCGTGTGAGGGATGCTCTACAAAGTAACTCCAGTGCTCTGCCTGCTCGAAAAACGCATGTAACTTCAAATCCAATCGGTCTCCATGGCCCTCCCGCGCGTTCCTGGCTCGGGAACGGCTGAGAAAGTGAGAATCCCATGGCCCTGCCGCACGCTCGCGGCTTGGGACAATGAAAGTAGGTAAAATCCCATAGCCCTGCCACGCGCGTGTGATTGGGAAAGCTGCAACTGCGAGACCACCATTGCCATGTTCAGTTTTTTGATGCTGTTGCTAGTCAACATAAGGTAATAGCAACTTCGATTCGCAACTTCCCCTGGGGATTATCAAGCTCGGCCTCCGCTCCACACCTCACAATTCAATCCTATTGACACAGGGTGGTAACTACTCAGGGGGAAAATGGGGTATGTTTTATTATCGGGGGCAGTCGGTTAACATCCGAATATTGTAATGGCCTCCGGCCAGTGCCGCCGATCAAGGGGGCTCCGGATTCGGTGATGTTCGCGGCTCTGTGGCCTTTTCTTTTTCGATTATTACGGTCCTCTTTCTTTGCCCTTGTTTTCGTTATCCTCTGCCTCCCGCTGGCCCCTTTGCGTGGCGCGCTCGCTTCCCTCTCCGACGCCCGAGAGAGAGAGAGAGAGACACACACATAACATCATGATATTAGATTGCCCTCGTGCCGTAGGGCCCTATGGCCCCTAGGCCCTAAACCTTGACAGCCCAGGACCACGAGTAGGATCATCATGGAAGGCCAAATGTCCGAATCTCATCATGCAAGTAAGCCGTGGGCCCTCAGACTCTATTGCCGCAAAATCGGACGACCGCATCATTCGAGCACCCCCGATCACCCCACGGCCCCAACACCACAAAGTCCAGAGACACTGGAGTTCCTAAAGCCTAGGGGTCGCAAGGCCCTAATACCCTGAGGCGCTGGGACCATAACGCTCTACGGCCCCCCGGCCCAGGGAACCGAAGACCTTAATGCCATATTGCCGAAACAGACCAACGCCCTAACAGACCACTGCCGTAGTACCCGAAGGCCGCAAGACGACAGAACACGACGACCCAAACGCCCCAACCCTGCTAGCCCTTAGACCTTAAAGCCCGAAGATTCCCAACACCACGGGGCCAGGATATCCTAGGACCCTAGGGCTCTAAGGTCGCATGTCCTTCGATCCCCCAAACAATCAGACCCTGAGACGTTAAGAACCTAGCGTCGTAAGACCCTAGCCCAGCAATTCCCGATGACCCCAGCACCTGGCGGCCCTAACACCCAAACGCCCTAAGCTTTCATGCATAATGCCTCGGGACCTTGAGGCTCGAAGTCCTCCATGTCATAATGCCAGAAGACCCTGCCACCCCACGAGCGTAGCACTCCAATGTGCCAGCGCCCCACCATCCTTACATCCGAAGGTTTCGATCGACTATGTCCCAGAGGCTGCAGGACTGTACTATCCTGAGGCCCGCAGGCCCTAATGCACAACTTTTCAAACACACGTACGCCCTGAGAATCTAACACCCGAATGTCTTGATAGCCCAACGTTCAATGGCCTTGAGTCATAGGACCATGATACCCTAGGGCCCTAGTAGACGAAGATCGACCGCGATGCCCCGATGTTGAAAAACGATGGGGCCTTGACTTCAGCATACCGTCATGTACTAAGACCATTGGCTGGAGGCCCTAGGACCCTGAGACCTTGCCGCACGAAGGCCCGAATACCCCCAGTACCCCAACACCTTCAGGCCCTGAGGCGCTAACATTCTAACATAGTAAGGCATCCATCAGGAGGGGAAAAAACACAGACCCAATTAATCGGCGACCCCCAGGAAATTATAGGAACATATGGGAAGTGGGGGGACGATTAAAACCCAGAAGATATGGGAATAGATGGGGACTCCTAGGACTTGTGTCTTTTATTTGTGTGTGTCCCAGGGCACCTTTAATTCAGTCCCCGGGCCCCACGACCCTAGGGCACTGATGCACCAGGAACCTAACACCGCAGTGCCATGAAGCCGCATTGCCCCAAGCACCGAACAGGGAAAGTTCCTGGCACCCGAAGACCCACTAGCGCCCGACGGTATGAGGACGCAAAGGCCCGAGAGACCCCAGAACCCAGGGCCTGATGGCTCTAACGCGCTAGCGCTACATCACCACAGCGCCTTGGCGCCCCAATATCTTGAGACTCCAGGACCAGATGACATTGGTGCCCCAAGGCCCCAGGACCCCACTACACTCATACCCCCCCCACATCCCTAATGCCTCAGGGCTCCAAGAGCCTAAATCTGTTGCGCTTTCAGACCCGAAGACCTCCCGGAGAACAAAGGGGTACGAAGTGCGTGCTTGGTGTGCTTAAGCGATGCTTCCAGGAGCCGTTGGGGCCAGCTCCGACCCTTGGGGCACGAAGTGCGTAGGGTGTGCGCCGAACCCATTGCATTGTCACGCGTCTGGGGCTCTTTTGGATTCTCAGTGGGCTCTGATCGAGCTGGCACGCCTATCTGGGCATCTCTGGCTCGCTCCCCGAGGGGGAGCAACGCATCCTCGAGGGCGGGGGGCACCTCGAGGGAGCAAAGCCTACACACACTCCGCGAGAGTATGGTTGGGGATGAAACATAACCCTCGGTAGGGAAGAATTACGGACTCGAGGGCGGAACACTTCCCTAAGGAGCTGTGGCGCAATGAGAGGCCCTACGCCACGTCGAATTATATGGTGATGACGCTTCCCGTCAGAGAAATCAGGTTCACGCACGATAGCATCATGGACCGCTTCAAAGATGGCAGGAGGTTGGAGGACCTCATCGCAGACCTTGAGAGCGGAAGGGTCAATCCGATGAAAGACAAGTTCTTGCAGCTAGATGGTTTTAGGCAAGACGCCCGCGGTCGACACCAACCAGCGGCATATTTTTGCCGCAACAACCGTCGGTTGCGCTGCCTCAAGGACTTCCAGGAGCGGAATCCCCAGCTGAAGGTGCAGGTGAATTTGTCCGTTGAATTGTTCAAGGGCAGTGCAAAAACTGCCATATTGTGGCCTTCGGCCCATCCTCCTACCGTGCCTGGGTTGTGGGTCAGATGCCTCTTGGGTGAATATGAGGGCATCGTGGGATACCTCTGGGGTTCCTCTTGGGGGCTTCTTGGGGCTCTTTTTTGACCCTCTTGGGGGCCCTTGGGGCCTCTTGGGGGCACCTCGGAGGCTTTGGGGGATCTTTGGGCCATCTTTGGGCGGAGGGCTCGAAGTGACAGTTCGCGTTCCCCATCCTGGGCTCCTCTTGGGGCCGTCTCGGGGGCCTCTTGGGCCCCTCGTGGGGGCTCTTCGGCCGTCTTTGGGCGATGCTGGGAACTTCGTGGATGGGCGATGCTGGGAACTCCGTGGGCCATCTTAGACGCTCTGACAGACGAAACAGCGGAAGTGATGGAATTTGACGATTCGGGCGCCTCTTGGGCTGGCCTCCAGTGCCTCCGAGACGGCCCAAGAGGGGCCCAAGAGGGCTCCAGGACGGTCCCTGGGGCCATCTGAAGCCGTGCTGGACACGCATGCTCCAACATTCACCACCCACCAAACCACCCCAACCCAACCCGAAGGCCTCACTTTGCCTTCCATTTCCAGGGTGGGGGGGGGGCATCGAGAAACCACATATGGAACCCGTACCCCCCCCCAACCCGAAGTTCGGGTCTTCGGGTTGGGTCGGGGTGGTCTGGTAGGTTGTCAAACATATGATTTTCGGACCTCTGGGCAAGTCACGCGCCCGACCCGGAGAGCGCCCGAGAGCGCACTGACACTCTCCAGGCAGTGAGCCTTAGGCAGAGCTGCACAGAGTTCCCAGGACAGAACGCCAAGGGACCCGAGGGCACTCCACTTCGTGCCTCGAGGCACGGTGGCGGCTACAAGCGCTAACCACGGTCAACGGCGGGACGTCCGTAGAGGTGCGCCCGTCCGCCAGGATTTGCTGACGGCGCCGCGTGCCCCGACGGCAGCTCCATTGCGTCCTGAGTCCGGGCGGCAGCAGCGAGCTGAGTGGGGGTGGCGCGCCCGCCCGCGCAGGCTCGCCGAGCAGAAACGGGGCGGGATGCAGGGATGCAGGAGGAGGAGGAGGAGGAGGAGGAGGAGGAGGAGGAGGAGAAGGAGGAGGAGGAGGAGGAGGAGGGGATGAGGAGGAGGAGGGGGGAGGAGGAGGGGGAGGAGGGGAGGGGAGGGAGGGGAGGAGGAGAGGAGGAGGGGGAGGGGGGGGAGGGGGAGGGGAGGGGAGATGAAGAGGGGGAGGAGGAGGAGGAGGAGGAGGAGGAGTAGGAGAGAGGAGGAGGAGGAGGAGAGGAGAGGAGGAGGGGAGGAGGAGAAGGACTAGGAGGAGGAGGAGGAGGAGGAGGAGGAGGAGGGAGGAGGAGGAGGAGGAGAGGGGAGGGGGGGGGAGGGGGAGGGGGAGGGGGAGAGGGAGGGGAGGGGGAGGGGGGAGGGGGATGTATGTATGTGTGAGACTGTCAGACTGTCAGACCGCCCCGTTCTCTCCCGCTAGTGTGTCAGACTGTCAGACCACATGTGCATGTATCCGCTTGCTGTTTTATTCCTTGCGTAGCCGTTTTGTCGAGTCCTTGCAAGAGCAAGCCGCGCTCAAAGTCATGACACTCGGGCGGCACTTCCATTCGTGTGAAAAGCATCACATCATGTTTCCGGCCTCAGCGCAGAGGCCTGCATAGTGTTTCTTTCATTCTCAGAGTTTCATTCGTGAGCAAGGTTCCGGGTCTTCCAACGGCTTGTTCACGTATCTACCTCCATGTCTACCCGCAGCAAGCGTGCTATTGATGTTCTCCGTCTGGTCCGAGATCGTTCACAACTTTCAGATATTTCTCCTAGGACCATGGTTAAGGCCTGGCATGCAGACGTGGTCGCGATTCTAGTGTCAGGTTCTGTTTTGTATGCCCGCCGCTTGTTTGCGAAGCTCACCAGTGTCTTGAATATTGTCGAAGAGTGGTTGTTTGGCAATGTGAAAACACGGCGTTCCAATCATGATGTTGAGTTCGTATGGGCAGGGGTGCAAACCAGTCTTAGTGTACTTTGGTTGATGCTGCACCGGACTTGCCGGCAAGCCAGACAAGTAGGAACCATGTTGTCTATTCCGCACAGGCACGTCATATGGCTACCAGAAGCGCTACGGGACCTCGGCCTTCTACGACACGCTGCGCAGAGCCTCCTTGAACTTCAGCTCACGGCCATCAGCACCAACAGTGCTGATTATGCGACGCTCTATTGTTGGAATGGGTGCGGCTTCTTGTATGTCGGCTTTGCTCAACAGTGTCGCAAGACCTCCAGGCAGGCCGGGCCGATCTGCAGATGGCTCGAGCATGCGGTTCTGCGGCGCCACGCTGAGATGAGAGATGCCACGTACATGAGGTATCGCCTCGCCAGGCGCGTGCCTCCAGACCGCTACCATTTCATGGCCATGCGAGTCGGCCAGCGGGACAGCATCCACACGGCAGAAACGTATGCTATTCGCTCTCTCAGGCCTGCTTCTCATGTCAGTCGTTCGCAGCTCGCCAACATGTCAGCTGGGAAGCCGAGGGCGCGACGAGCACGCCTCCCTCCCGATGTTCGGCATTTTGGACCTCGTGGGAAACGTGTTCCGGGCGGTTTGTTTGATTGTGGAGTGCCAGACCGACGCGTTCCGCAATTATCTGTAGCCGACGCTCTACAACAGCCCCCCCCGCCATCACGACTTGCCCGGCGATCGTTGATGAATGCATGGTTCTGGACGTTTACTTTTCAGCAGTTGTATGTGCATCTGGCTAGGAACTTCGGGCCAGGCCCGATCAACATCTATGACAGTGCTGCATGGCCTCTGATGTTATTGTGGATTTGCACGCGCCGTGCCGATATCGAATGGGATCGAATCGCAGCCGCATGGTCGTTGCAATTGCCGATGCTACTTCTTCATCTGCGCGAGTGCGTACGCCTGGTTCCAGGTGTCGGTCGCCAAGAGAACGGCATGGTGACAATTAGGGCTGCTTGGGCGCATTTAGGCTTGCCGCCGTCTACCGCGTTCAACGTGAAAGTTCATTTGTCAGTGATGGTGCCGATCGTTCGCAAGCTCATTTCTCTTGGTATTCGGTCTTCCTCTTGGCCTGACGGGATAAAAGATTGGATGGTAAGGTCATTGCGAGTCAGCGTGGGCAGCAAAATGACATTTCTCAATACTCATGGGTCTTCGTCTCGGGCGAAAGCTGTATCACTCAGAGAGGTTTGTACTTGGCCCGTGGGCCGCATCATGTACGCTGCCAGAGGTTTCGGAGCCCGTCTGATACGGAGACGTTGGGATATCGAGTTGAGGCCGATGCCAGACCAGATCATGCACGACAGTACCACGTTATCTTGCAGTTGGGTATCACGTTGGTGTGACACGCGCTCTCAATCGAATGTGCGACGCAGAGCTCAATCCGACGATGCTTCTGTGGCACTGATCTTGCATCAATGGCAACGCTGGCTCCCGAGCTTGTGGCAGTACACGTTGCACACGCTTGATTTTGAACCACCGTCTGGCTACGTAGTGATGCAAGACGACAAAGTCAAGAAATCGTGTTGGATAGTACCTGAGGATGTGTTCAAGATTTCTTTGTTTCAGTTCGTGCTCAACTCCAGTAGCTGGCATGTTTCCAATGAGTCGCACGACGACGCCAACTCTGCGCTTCGACAAGTTCTGAGTGATTACATCCCCGGCAGGCTGCGAAAAATACTCAAGATCGATGCCGCTGTCCGCAGGCTGCCACACATGTACACTACCATTAAATCAAAATGCTACGGCCACGGCGTGGGTCCACGTACTTGCCAGTCTTCTTCGCATAGTTGTTGTAGGAAGGTCATCTCCTTCGCGGCATGGCCGGCTGCAAAGGAGTGGCGTTGCATCGGCCGTGCGGTGGACACGTTGACCAAGCGATACACTAAGGGGCTTGAGCTCTGGCGGCTTCGGGATGCGATCCCCGATCTCATGGCCGCACTCGAACGCCTGATGGATGCGCGATCGGAGCAGCACAGGTCTACATGTCGCCGCTGTGGTGGGGCAAAAAGCCTCTGCGAAGGACTAGTGGCTGATGCCGGGCAAATGTTCGAGTCGATCGATCGTGTTCAGGTTGGACGTGCTTGCAGTCGTGTGTTGCAGCTTGCTGAATTGGCTTCCGGAGAATCTTCCGTGACGGTTCTTCGCACCACACGTCGTCAAGCGTACATGGGCGGAGCACTAGTTAACCGATCACCGCAGTCACAAACATATAGTTTTGCCGAGCTTCATGCGTGTTTGGATGCTTTCCTGCAGATGAACAAGGTCGCAGTCGGGGACATTGTGTGTGAGACGGACGGCGTGCCGATCGGAGGGTTCCTGAGTCGTACCGCCGCGTCGCTGGTGCTCAATATGGCAGAGCATGATTGGGTGAGATCTTACACTGAAGCTGACCTAGATTGGAATTCCCTGGTTGCGCAGCTACGATACATCGACGACGTCTGCATGATATCGTTTTGTTTGTGCCGGGGATGTTTAAAGAAGCATCTGGACGCCATGTATCCCATCACGTTTGACGTATCAGCCCCCTCCCGTGTGCTCCGCTGGCTGGATGTTGAATTTGACTTGGACCGCCTAGCCCACAATTTCTACTTCAGTAAAGGCGTGGGCGTTCTACCAGCTTGGGCGTCAAGTGTAAAGGACGTGCGTGCTTACTTGTTATCGCGTGTTTCCAGGCTCGACGAGATGTGCCTCGTGACAGAGCAAATGGCAACGCACGTTTCGACCCTCCTCTGCGAGATGTCCCGCCTAGGATGGCGCGCCCAAGATTTTCGAGCATTGTATTTCATGTCCAGGGGTAGGCGGCCCACTGTAGCCATGAAGGCCCTATGGGCGGGGCTTCTTCTGCTTTCAGCTGTGTCACCGCCCGCGCACCTATGATACACCACTCCTTGGGAGGGATTTTTCGTACCGCCCCGTTCTCTCCCGCTAGTGTGTCAGACTGTCAGACCACATGTGCATGTATCCGCTTGCTGTTTTATTCCTTGCGTAGCCGTTTTGTCGAGTCCTTGCAAGAGCAAGCCGCGCTCAAAGTCATGACACTCGGGCGGCACTTCCATACGTGTGAAAAGCAACACATCATGTTTCCGGCCTCAGCGCAGAGGCCTGCATAGTGTTTCTTTCATTCTCAGAGGAGGAGGAGGAGGAGGAGGAGGAGGAGGAGGAGGAGGAGGAGGAGGAGGAGGAGGAGGAGGAGGAGGAGTTGGGCGTCTGCAGGCCTGACCCTTGGCCCCTACACACAGCTTTCCTTCTCGCCACGGCGCATCCCCAGGCAGCGATGTTAGAGCTATGTGGCTGCAGAGGCTGCTCACGCGCCCTCCGCATCATTGCCCCCTGCCCCTGAGCGACCTGCGCCCTTGTCGTCATCACTGTCGTCGTCGTCGTTGTTGTTTGTGGTGTTGTTGTTGGTGTTGTTGGTGTTGTTATTGTTGTTGTTTTTGTTGTTGCTGATGTTGTTGCTGGTGTTGTTGCTGATGTTGCTGTTGTTGTTGAACATTATTAATTCTAAAGAATAATTATTGTTGGGCCCCCTGGTGCGCGCCCCCCCCGCCGCGCCTAGGCCGCAGCCACGTTTTCATCATTTTCGTGAGGAAGCCTCAGGTAATTCGAGGTGATCAAGATCCGGCTGTTTTGTTGTAATCCGTTTTCCCTTGCAAAAAACACTATAAAATGACATTTCTTGTTCTAATATAATCAAATTTCAAGAATCCCTTGCAAAAAATAAGGTAAAGTGGACATTCGCGCGCGCAAGACGAAATCCTTCCAAAAGCTTAGTGTTCGGAGCGATTTTAACATAAAAACATCAAAAAACCAATGGTTTTTCAACAAAAAAATGTCAAAATCTCATCCCGCGCGCTCTTGCGGATTCGTAGGAAACCAACACTTTTTAAACATTTCTGTCAAACGGGCTTTTGCGAGCAACTTTTTCGAACTTCTGCGACAACGGTTGCGCACCTGCCAGGGCCATCATCCCTGTCAAATAATACCATGCGGGACACATTCGTTTTTTCTTCG